AATTCTATTAGTTCTAGTTAATATATTGATATTTTGTAATTTTTCTAAAATCATTTTATCTATTCTATTCATTTTAGAATTTTTCTTTTAGATTCGTTACTAGGCTGTGATACCAATTATAGGGTTAAAATACGGAAAACAATTAAAATATAGAGATAAGGGTATAATAGACAATTGTAACACAAAAGACAAAATTAGGTCAAAGCTTATGTTCGTTTAGCATTATCCTTTTCAATTTCATTCCTACTTTCATTTACTAGATAGAGATAGGTAGAAGTAATTTTGTTGTTTCCTTTAATTTCTAGGTAGACTCGTTCGATAAGAAAATAATACGTTTTTTTTTAAAATCTCTAGCTCGTCCTGGATGTTGTGGAACCATTTTTCCTCATAAATAATAATTTTTAGAATTTTAATATTCTATTTCTCTTGCTGAACTAGTTGATTTGAATTTGAATTTTTCAATTTTTTCAGTTTATTTATTAATCATAATTATATATAAGCTACTTATGTAAAAATAAATAACTTTCTTTGTTGAAGAAAATTTAAATTTATTCTCATATCTCTACGTTTACAAAATAGATTTTTTTAATTGATCATTATCAGAGTTATTTAAAACAAATGAGTTTCTTCTACTTGGGCTGTGTCTGGAGCCAATTCTTTGCCAGATTTTTATTGAAATTTCAACCGTTGCCAATATCTACAACTGCAACAATTGACTATGGGTGAGAGGTGTGGGGGCAACTGTTTGAAAAAAAGGGCTATATTTTGAAAGAAAATATGAAGAAAAGCCACAACAGACACACCCTTAAAAGGGAAAAAATTAACTTATTCAAACATCTTTCGAAATAGCTACTATCAAATAGATAAATACTAATTTATTGATCAAAAAACGTAATAAGTAAAATATTTTTACTTATAAGGAAGAAAAAAAAATTAATTTTTTCATCAAACATGTTTAGAAATTAACACTTAATAAATAGATAAAAAAAAGTATTAAAATTTGAAGAATATGTAGTTATTTACTTAAAAATACTTTCTTTTATTTAAAAGGCCGAAATAATTAACATACAATATCTTTATAAATAACTTTTTATTTTTCGTAAGTTAAGCCGAACATTCAATATGGAGATGCTTTAGAGAAACTTTAGGCAAAATTATGGAACTGGAAATTAAACGTTAACCGAGTTTGATGCATTAATCAAACTTCAAAAACATAATGTCCCATAGTCCTTAATATTTGACTAAATATTTTTGTTTGATTGTTGCTCCATTTTGATTAGGCGTTGATGGTGTCAATCGAAGTGCACCACATATGATCATGGCAACCTTTCAGTAAAAGATTTTATCATGACCAGACTACATACTTGTTTTTTATTGGCTCATCATGAGTAAAGTA